TTATATATTAATATGTATGTATATATATATATATAATATATATATAATATATATAATATATATATATATATATATATATATTATTATATATTATTATATATTTATATATATATATTCTCTCTATCTAAAATCTATCTATCTATCTCATCACTTCCTCTATGTTCATGTGTACCTATCTATTTGTTCGTTTGTTTTATGACATGTTTTTGTGATCGAAAGAGAGGAGAAAGAGAACAGAGAGAGAGAGAGAGAGAGAGAGAGAGAGAGAATGAGAGAGAAGGGGTGTCGGGGGAGTCAGACGAGGGAGAGAGAGAGGGCTCGGAGAAGACGGAGAGGATAGAGGGAGAGAGGGAGACGGAGTGGGGTCAAGAGAAAACGAAAACGCATTCATGAGAGGATGGAGCTCGAGGAAGGGTGGAGAGAAGATCCGAGGACGGTGAGAGAGATGGGAGTCTGGAGATAGAGACGATCAGAAAGGGAGACGATGATGAGAGTGAGGAGAGAGAATGAGTGGGAGTCGAAGAGAGAGGAGAGAAGGAGGGGGGAGGGAAAACGAGAACGGAAGATTGACGTGTGACGAGGCGGGGAACGGAGAGAAAAAAACGCGGAGATGAAGGAAGATAATGAAGAAGAGGGAGAGAGAGCGAGGGGGAGAGAAAGAGAGAGGCGATCGAGGAGTCGCCCGCAGAATTCGAAAGGGAGGAGAAGGAGGGGGGTGGGGAAAACTCGGAGGAGGTAACCGAGAAGAAGAGAGAGAGAGAAACACGAAAGAGAGAAGAAAACGAGAACGAGAAGAGAGAAGAGGGGTGCAAGAGCGAAAAGAGCGAAGGCCGCCCAGGTGAAGAGGCGAGCAGAGGCGTGCGTCCGGCATAAGATATGTGTCCGTTTAATGGGGTCAGTGTTGTGGTCGTTTATTACACTAATGTTACGGCATCCTTGTGCTGCGTTGCTGTTAGTGTTATGTCTGTCCGCTGTTTCCTGTTTATTGTCGTGCGCCTTTTTCATAGACATATTTTGGACTCTTATTTTTTGTAGTCCTCATGATTTGTGTGTGTTTGTATATATATATATTACACACATATATGTATATATATATATGTATATATGTATATGCATGTATTATATATTTATATATATTATATAATATATTATATATATATATATATATATATATATATATATATATATATATATATGTATGAATAAGTATTTGTATTAGTATGCATGGTTTATATCGTACTGTTTACTGTATTATATATATATAGGTCCTTCAAGGCAATAATTAAAAAGACTCAAAATTATAATTTAATGTCTTTGTTTAATATTTTGTCATCAACTGTATGGTGTTTCCAGTCCTTGTTTGTTTCATATTTGTTTCTGAAATTATATATTTTCTATTTCTTTCAACGATTTCTGCTCAATTTTTAGCCATTTTGGGTGGTAAAGAGTGGATAAGAGAATCATTTTTTCCCTCATTCTTCATCTTTACTTCTTCCTTTCATCCGTTTTCCTTCTTTCCTTTTTTCTTTCCTCCTGTCTCTAGATTTCCTTCCTTCCTTCCGTAATTTCTTTCTTCCTTCTTCCTTCCCCTCCTCCCTCCTTATCTCCCTCTCCCCCTTCCTCCCTATTTCTCTTCCTGTTTTTTTACATTGCTTCTTCATTCTCTCCTTCCTTAACCCTCCCTTCCTCCTCTCCGCACCTCCCTCTCTTCTTCCCTCCCCCTTCCTCTCTGCTTTCCTTCCCTTTTTCCCCTCTTCCAGGAGGGAAGGAAGGAAGGAAAAACTTCTTTCCTTCTTTTCTTCCCTCCGTCCCCACCTCCCTCCCTTCCTAGGTCCCTTCCCTCCATCCCTTTGTAGTTTCCCTCCCTGCCCTCTTCCCCTTCTCCATTCCTTCCTCCCCGCCTCCTTCCTTCTCTCCATTCCTTCCTTCCTCCACCCTCATCCCTCTTCCCCTTCTCTCCTCCCCTCCCTCCCATTCAGAACAACCCTACCAACCCCCTACCCCCCACTCAGAACCCCCTCCCTCACTCTCAGACCCCCACCCCACCCCTCTCTCCCCCAACTCAAGCACATCTCCCCCGCCCTGGCCACTGTTCTAACTCCCCTCTCCCTGTTCTCCCCTCTTCCCTCAGACTTCGAACTGACGCCCTGCAACGGGGAGCCGCCCTTGGTCAACCCTGCGACCGGACGGGACTTCTACTGCGGGAAAGGGCCGGATACCGAGACGTGTCCGGATGGGTACTACTGCCACTGGACGCTCTCCTTCGCGAAGTGCTGTCCGCTTGACCAAGGTAAGGGCTGCCTTCTCGTGTTTTTTTCTTCTTATTTTTCTTCTTTTCCTTTGTGTGTTCTTGTTTCCCTCTTTTTTTCGACTTTATGTTTTCTTTCTGTTTCGTCTTCTCTTTGTTGTTCTTCTTTTATCTTATTTTAGTTTCTTCTACTTCATCTTCCTATTCTTCTTTCTTTCTTTCTTTCGTTTTAGTATCTTCGTCTTTTCTCTCTCTTCTTTATCTTTTTCCTCCTTCTTTGAAGGGGAAATACTAGCTTTAGTTTCATACATTATTCTCTTATTTTTATTTTTTCTTTGGACTATATAATACATTTCAATGTCCTTTTGGCCTGCCTTCCGCCTCTGGACATCTTGAGGAGCGTTCAACTGGTCTTGTGTGCGCGCAGGTCTGGCCGGAAGCGCGGCAATCGGAGCCGAATCGGTCGCTTCGGTGCGGAATCCGGGGCCGAGGGGAGCCAGCGGTAACACGACTCAAGGCGTTCTTTTTCCTCGGGAATCTGCGGGCTTTCCAGGGTGCAATTAAAGATTATTGTCTGTAATTCGCTTAAAGAATGTATCAATATAAAGTCAACAAAAGTTATATTAGTGAATAAAATAATAAGTTAATAATCACAAAATGCGATTTTCATTACCAAATGGCTAATTTCAAGCAGGATCTGCACTCGCGTCGACGGCCCGTCCGATTAGCGTTAATATTTTTGAATCTGATATTTTGGTTTCCGTGCTTCTTTCTTCAAAAAAATATACGCCATGAAACATGAAACTATAGTGAAACGGGGAACAAGTCACTGTTGCGAGAAGTACTATGCGCAGTTATTCAAGCGAGAGGCAATGTGAAGTTCAGTAAGACTGCTTTTCGCTGTTGAAACACACGTCTGGGTGGCCACTCGGACACAAGGCAGGTCCTAGACGTACACAAGACCAGTTGAACCGCGCCTTTATCTTCCATTCTCTTCTTTATCACTATCATCATCATCCCTCTTATCCCCTTTCTCTCCTCGCTCTTCCCCCCTCTCCCTTCTCCACACATCAGTCTTCTCACGGATTTAAAACCCAATCATCCTACAACGTATCCTTCGCTTCCTTCAGAGGAGAACGTGACGCTGGCGGGTCCTTCGTGCCGCCAGTCCTCCTACGGCTGCTGTCCTGACGGGAAGTCCGCCGCCCTGGGACCCAACTACGGCGGCTGTCCCTCCATCTGCCAGTGCCACAAGGTCAGTCGCGGTGCCAAGGGAGGTAGGGATGGGGTAGGGCGAAGGGTAGGGGGTTGGGGGTAGAGGGATGGGGTAGTGGGGAAGGGGAAGGGAGTAGAGGGTTGGGGGGAGGGAGGGTAGTGGGATAGGGAGAAAGGTAGGCGTACAGGTTGGGGAGGGAAGGGGAGGCGAAGGAGTTAGGGGAGGGAAGGGTAGGAAATAGAGGGTTGAGGAGGAGGGAAGGGTAGGGGGTAGGGGGAAGGGGTAGGAGTAGAGGAAGTAAAGGTGGAAGGGGAAGTAGCAAGGGGGAAGGAAGGAGAAAGAAGAATGGTGAGATACGAGAGGGATTTGTTGGAAATTGAATATATGTGCTGTAAATATATATTGGATTTGATTATTTGGCAGTATCAGTTTTCTCTATTTTTCTTCTTTTTTGTTAATGTGACATCGCTAGCTATATTGCTTTCCTTCCCGGTTGAAGCCACACAACCCATTAACCTCTCATGACCCCTGACCTCCCTCCAAACAGCTGGGTGCCTACGACGAGGTGTGTGACCCCGTGACCAACCAGTGCCGCTGCAAGCCAGGCGTCGGGGGCACCAAGTGTGACCGCTGCGAGCCCGGCTTCTGGGGGCTGCCCAGGATCCAGCGCGGGAGCAAAGGATGCCTGCGTGAGTGCTTGCTTGGCTTTGGGCGGCTCGCTTCAGTGGGAGTGGGCTGGGGTCTGGCTTTTTGTCTTACTGTTTCCTGTGTTTTGGCTTTTTGTATCATTTTTCTGGTTTTCTTGTTTATTGTTATTTTTGTTTGTTTGTTTGTTTGTTTGTTTTAACTTTTTGTTTCTTATTTTGTTTTTTTGTTTTCTTGAAAAACGAACATATATACATTTAGATACTACTCAAAGGACAGAGATAGTAATCTTAAGCAGATAATGATGCTGATAATGATACTTGACTCTGTGTCGCAGCCTGCGGGTGTTCGCTGTTCGGGTCGGTGCGCGACGACTGCGAGCAGATGACGGGGCAGTGCGTGTGCAAGCCGGGCATTCGGGGCAAGAAGTGCAACGAGTGCCCCGAGGGCCTGGTGCTGGGCCCCAAGGGCTGCAGAACCAGCGGCGTCACCACGCCCCCGCCCCGGTCCTGCGCTGAGCTCGAGTGCTACTTCGGCGCCAGGTGCCAGGAACACGAGGGCCACGCGGAGTGCAAGGTGGGCGGCGTTCTCTCTCTCTCTCTCTCTCTCTCTCTCTCTCTCTCTCCTCTCTCTCTCTATATATATATATATATATATATATATATATATATATATATATATATATCTCTCTCTCTCTCTCTCTCTTCTCTCTCTCTCTCTCTCTCTCTCTCTCTCTCTCTCTCTCTCTCTCTCTCTCTCTCTCTCTCTCTCTCTCTCTCTACTGTATATATATATATATATTATATATATATATATATATATATATATATATATATATTATATATTTCTTTATATAGATAGGTACATTAATGACTTCATAAAGATGATGCATACATTAATTTATTCATTGATTGATTAATGAATTAGAGTGAAGAATCCCCCGTAACGCTTTGATGATAACATCGCCATCGCCACCTCACGTGGCAACCTCACTATTGATAACCTTATAACCGTGTGATAACCCCCTTTTGCCCCCCCAGTGCGACGCCCAGTGCCCCGAAGACACGCCCTCGTCCCCGCGGCCCGTGTGCGGCTCTGACATGGAGACGTATGCCAGCGAGTGCCACCTGCGCCTCTTCGCGTGCCACTACCAGAAGGACGTGGTGGTCGACGCCCTCGGCTCGTGCCCTCCTCCAGGTGAGTGGGCGGGGCTAGGGGAGGAATTGCGTCATCGCATAGCACGTCACAGTCTCGGGTTAGGAGGAGGGGCGGTCAGGGAAGGGGGTGGGGGGAGTGGGTAGGGGTTGGCTGTGTGGATGTGGTTTGTGTTTATGCTTTGTTTACTTGGTATAGATGATTGTTTATAGACAAACGCACAGACACTTGCGTACACACACGTGTGTGTGTGTTTGTTTGTGTTTGTGTGTGTTTTGTTTTTTGTGTGTGTTTGTGTGAGTGTGTTGTTGTGTGTGTGTGTGTGTGTGTGTGTGTGTGTGTGTGTGTGTGTGTGTGTGTGTGTGTGTGTGTGTGTGTGTGTGTGTGTGTGTGTGTGTGTGTGTGTGTGTGTGTGTGTGTGTGTGTGTATGGGTATATACTGTGAGTACTGTGTAAGGTATACAGATATACTTTACATGTAGATCCACGCCAATGCAGAGCATCTGCAGACGTCCTTTGTGTCCGTGTCCGTGGGCCCGAGAGTGTGACGTGCGCCCGAGGGAGGTCCGGGGAGGGAAGCACGCCTGTGTCTGTGTCTGTGCCTTGAGCACCTGCACTGCGCCCTCGTCGCCTCGCTCTCTACCATTCACCGCACCTTAAATATAAACAAAGAGAAAGACTAAGAAGGAGGCGTCGCTCACAAGTCTCTGGCCTTCCCGAGGGCGACGGAGACTTGTGGGCGGCGCCGGTGTTGTTTAACGGACGACCAAGGAAAGCCAAGATGTTTCTTTAGCTCAAGATTCCCTTCTGTCACGTTCAGTCTGAGACCCAAGTTGATTTGAGAATTCCTTTGGCCTCGTGTTGAGATGCACACGAGCCGCTCCCCCAGGGCCATGAACTGACTGGCGTTCCTTTTAAACTGAATGACATGAACACACTGTATACTTTCACTAAATCTGAACTTTTTTTTCTTTCGCACGCAAGATCTTTAGTATATTTTTCTTTTAAAAAATAAGAAGAAAGAAGAGAGAGAGTCAGAATTCTCGAGTTTCCTTTCCCTTTTAAAGTCACAGCCTAACGTAACTCTGATCTGAAAGTTGACTTAAACATCACAAATAAACTCCCGTTGTGTCCCAACCCTCGTGAGCGTAATACTGTCAATGTCTGGAAGCGTGTAGTTGTGTTGCACCAACGACCTCTTGTGTTAGACTCTCACTAGACTTTGCCGTAGTGTTAGTTCCTCTGACGGCGCTCCGAGGCGAGCCCGAGAGTTTCTGGATATGGCAGTAGGACGCACATTTGTTACACGTGTTGTCACCCACCTGTGTTGCACTCCGTTTGGCTAATGTTGCTATGGATTCTATTATGTGACGACCTCCTTCCCGCCGACGCTCGAACGCTGCCTCTGCGGCTCTCGAGCTGCGGCTCTATTCGAGCGGCGCCACACACCCGCGGGGCGCCATCCACTCGGCGCCGCGCGGATGTGTGGCGCCACTCGGGGACCTGCAGCACCGCTCTCCTTTGCGCGGTGCTGCATGTATGTGTGGCACTGCTCGTATGTGTGGCACCACACCGATGTCTGTGGCACCGCTCCTATGTGTGTGGCACTGCTATTACGTGTGGCGCCGCCCCTACGGCACCGCACCTATCTGTGGTGCCGCCCCCGAGTGCGAGCGCCGCTCTCATTGCACCATGAACGTAGGCAACCAGTCCGACGGCGTGACGGAGTCGCCGCTGCGCCGGTCCACCGCGCCGCTGTCGACGGAGCCGCACCGCGAGGAGGCGGCGAAGGCCACGCGCCACCTGCTGCTGCCCGAGTACGTGATCGGAGGCGCCCCCGGCTCCAGCACGCACAGCCTCTCCAACAGCATCTTCAGCGTGCCGCCCACGCCCGTCACCATCGCCGCCTTCGGCCTGCTGGGCTCGATCTGTTACCGCGACAAGGACTGCTCGGTGCCCTACTCGCGCTGCAAGACGTCCATTTGCACGTGCCGCAGCGGGTACACGCAGAGCGCCGACCGTCAGACGTGCGTGGGTAAGTCTCCCGACAGGTAAGGTGCTGCATTGCATGGCTCGCTTGCACCTGCACTGTGTACGTTAATGGTCCGTTTATATCTTTAGGTGTCTCATGCATAATGACTTTTCCGTACCATCGTTCTCTAATCATGTCGGCCTTTGCTCACTGGAATTATGAATTTTGAAATGACGATGACGCGAGGCTCGAAGGGATGACCTCACACGCCCTGTTTGGCTCTCCTCGCGGCAGTGACGACCCCGGGGCGAGAGGAGGTCGTCGGGGCGTGCGTCCGACGACCCTGCCAGAGGGGAGGCACCTGCCGGGAGCTCACCAACGGGGGGTACAGCTGCCAGTGCCCCCCCAGGACCACGGGCCTCCAGTGCGAGAAGGAGTTGCCGCCGCCCTACGAGACGCCCTCCTTCAGCGGCTCGTCCTACCTGGAGGTCAAGAAGATCAAGGCCTACAACAAAGTGCAGGTGAGATCCTGCAGTTCGAGTATTTCAGAAAAGTTAATGGACTCGAGACGCAAGAACGTTTGTCGGTGCATAGTGCGCGTATCGATGTCTACTTGTTCATTGTACCTTTGCTGTGTATGTTCTTAGATTTAAATCCCAGCTCTGAATTTGAATGAAAGAGTAACCATGACTCATCGAGAAATACTATTTTAGAAAGGTCTAACAATATAACTGCAAACACACAAGAACAGCCCTATCAATACCTATACTCTTGCAAAACACCCCGAGTTGTAATACTTTTGATCTATTAATACATTCAAAACTCACTGATTCCGGATCCTCTTCCCACCCGCAAAACAGCTGGAGCTCGAATTCCGCACCTTCACGGACAGCGGCATCCTCCTGTACAGCCAGCAGCAGCCTGACGGGTCGGGCGACTTCATCTCCCTGGCGCTGGTCGACGGATACGTGGAGTTCCGCTACAACCTGGGCTCGGGGCCGGCGGTCATCAGGAGTCATCACAGGGTGCAGATGAAGCGCTTCCACAGGGTAGGTTGGAGGTTCGAGGTTGGGTGGCGGTGGGGGAGGGTGGGGGGGTTTGGGGTGGAGGGGGAGCAGGTTGGTTTGTGTAGGAGGAAGGGAGGATTTGTGTGTGTGTGTGTAGGAGGGAGGGAGAGAGACAGACAGACAGACAGACAGACAGAGACAGAAGGAGGGAGGGAGGGAGAGAGACCTGGGAAGGGAATAAAACATTAAAACACGAGAAATCCCAAGCATACCTCACTGTCTCTTCATCCATGCCCGTCTTTGAATTTAAACAAGAGCGCCAAAGTTCACCAAGGACTCCACAGTTTTCCTCACGCAGCCTTCCTGGTTCCCCCTGCAGGTGGTGGCCAAGAGGTACCAGCGCGACGGCATCCTGCAGCTGGACGACGCCGAGGACGCCATCGGAAAGGCCCCGGGGACACTCAAGAGCCTGGACCTGCGAGGCTCCACGTACGTCGGATACGTCCCCACCAACGAAAGGAGGTGCGTGTGAGACCCTTCGGATGCGTAGGGCATCGGGGAAACCCACTTCATGCAAAAAAAAAAAAAAAAAAAAAAGTTACGAGGAGATTGAGTCAACAGTATCGAAATATTTTCTATATAGGATTCTTACACTTTTTCCATATTTTCTAGTGCTTATTTTATGCATTCCGCATTGTTGAATTTGTTTACTTGGGGTGTTGTGTCATTTACGTCGCTATAATTTAGATGTTTTCTTAAAAATTTAATCAATTTTTTATTCATTACTATAAAAAATATATATATATTTCCTTCCTGAAAGTGATTTACCTAAGGTGTGACTCCCCATACTCACTCCCCATGCCCCCCCCCCTTGCAGAGTATGGGAAAACGTGGGCACCTCCGAGGGCCTGGTCGGTTGCCTGCGCTCAGTCCGGATAAACGGGCGTCCCCTCGACCTGGTGTGGCCCGGATCCCCCCACGTGATCCGCGCCGAACACGTGGGCGAGTGCTCCGCGTCGCCGTGCGCCAACCTGCCCTGCCTCAACCACGGCTCGTGTAGGCCTACCGACGACGGCCATTTCAAGTGCCTCTGCGTCCAAGGGTTCATCGGTGAGTGCGTGGGGGAGTGGGGGTGGGGGGTGGGATGGTGATGGTGTTGGTGATAGTGATGATGGCGATGGTGATTACTTGGTTTGTGGTAATGGTTGGTAATAATTGTGTTGCTAGCTGAAAGGGCCAAGCAGGTTGGCGAATGGCTTTTATGGTGTGCAAATGAATTAAATGTAATTTTAAATACTTTGTTTTTTGTAGTTTTCACTGAACAAAATAAAACAAATAGAGATCATTTCTATTTGTACTGTCATCTTACGCAACATGTTTTGTTGTCGGTTGAACCGTTTATCTCACTGAAATAAAAACAAAGTACGCGTAAAATATAGCATCATGCATATACCGCGATAGTATATTCCTATTGTAAAATCCAATGGTAGACATACGGCATAACCAAAAGAATAATGAATCACGTATCAAAGTAACCCTTTTTCCCGCCGTCGCAGGGGAGCGGTGCGAGGTCAAGCTGGACCCGTGCGAGAGCCAGCCGTGCCAAGCCGGGGCAACCTGTGTCACGCTCCCGACCAAGGATTTCCTGTGCAAGTGCCCCCCAGGCAGAAGAGGAACGCTGTGTGACCAGAGTGAGTTTTTTTTTTATTGGTATTGTTTTGATGCGCATTTTTGTGAAATGCGTAAGGCTTGTATGCCGTTTTCGTCACGGAGGTTCACGTATTTGTATCGTATTAGGGGCTTATGTGAGGAAGTTCGTGTGAGGCCACTTTGATATCAGGTCGTCATATATTCTTCCATGAGACTCTAGACACAGAGATAACAAAATAACGAAATGAAGTCAACTAAAAGGAGCGATTTCCCCAGTGGACCGCACCCTCCGCGAGATGGTGATCCCCGACTTCGACGGCGACGCGTACCTGGAGCTGCCGACCCTGGACAACGTGGGCATGTCCTTCGCCCTCGAGATCTGGTTCCTGACGCGCTCTCCCGACGGCGTGCTGCTGTACAACGGGCAGATGGGCGGCGGCGGAGACTTCATCGCCCTCAACCTCCGCAATGGACACCTCGAGTTCTCCTACAACCTCGGCTCGGGACTCGCCACGCTAGTGTGAGTTGACGGGAACTTGTGTTTAGTTATGGTTTTCTTCGTTTCCCTTCTTCTTTGTTTCCTCTTTCGTCTTCTCGAATCTCCCCCACCCCCTCCTCTCCGCCTTCCGTCTCCTGCCTTCCCTTCCCTTCCCCCTTTACATCAGTGGATAGTCTGCATTGGGTATTTTGAGATGCAATGTTCCTTTATTTAATCAGTTGCATTATAGATTGGTATTTATTTATTTGTTTTTCATCATCATTATTCTCTAGACCGTTACCATAAATTTATCAAAGTTTGTTAGGGCATGCGAATGGGAACATGCTGGTGCTAACACAGCCAAGCTCTTTGCGACTAAGTGGACAAATTCACACCCTTAAAAGAGCAAAAGACCGTCACCTTTTTAAGGAGTGTCTGGCGCTTAACACTGTCATGTTCCGTTTTGTTTGTGAAAATGTGTCACAATAGAACCAGCAGCTTTACCCACACCGAATCACCAACTGTAATATATTGTTTCAGATTCAGGCTGAAGTAAGTAGTGGGCCACTGATGTAGGTGGTAAACAAACTTCAGGTCAGAGTGAGCAACACGAACAAGCACATTTGTTCTTGAACTTACTCTGGCACAAGTAATGTTTATGTTTATCTTTGTCCTTGCGGTCTCTCAGTCACCCTTGAGTATTTCACTCATATTGTAGACCTCGCTGTCCTACGACCTCTCTCGGCTGGACGCGGGTCAAGTCGGGTCAATACAAGTGATTCTTCTTCTGCCAGAGTTGCAGGCTTGTCATGCGTTGCATAAAAAGTGTTCTTGCACCATCTGCAATATGAGTTTCTCACACGCCTCCCCGACGAGCGAGTGTTCGAATCAAATGAAAGCTTATGAAAAAGAATATTTTATTCCCACTCTCGCCAAAGGTTCATTTGATTCGAACAAGTGCATCGGGGGTTTCTTGTCTCAAAGGCTAATTGCAACGATTGATTTTCCTGTAACAACACATATAGTTTGCAAGATTTTCGTATCACTCACGTTCGTTTGTTTACACAGATGATTATGCTCGATTTTATTGTTTTTTAATTACTTTTGTATGTTTTATTCGCCTCTTTCCGGCAAGTAGAATCTCTATATTTTCCCCTGGCGGAAAAAAGTGTTCGATTCACACGTTATGTTTTGTTTCATGAGCTTTTCTCTGTTCCTTTTTTTTCCTTTCTATTTTTCTTTCTTTGATGGTGCTTCACTCTCCCAAAAAATAAAAGCTTTGTATTTGCGTGTTGTGTCGTCCAATATTTTTTTCTGAACGAATGCAAGATGAAACATGGCACTCCTCAACACATTGTCCTTTTCCAGTCAATATGAACCCTTATCCCTTGTCTCTTGTTACCTCATGTTGCTGTCAGATCAGTCGATGTCAGTTTGTCCATGTAATGCGGTTCCTCTAATTGCCAAATGCCGCTACTGATGATTATTCTTAACCGATTTCATATTCCTTCGCAATTTAAAAGTAACGATTTTCACTTTTTAAAAAATACATGACATCCCTGATCTTGTATTAGTGGATATGCGAGCAGTGGAAGCATCCTGTCCCAGGGAAATACTTATATCAAACAAGTATGTATGAAAGAGAGAGAAAGAGAGAAACGAGAGTCCGACACACCAGACAAGAGCTGGTCCATAACCGTAAATAATTATCATCCTTTTCTCTCTCTCCCTCCACCGCTGTAGGAGCCCCGAGCGCGTCGCCCTGAACACGTGGCACATGGTACGCGTGCGCAGGAAGAAGAGGAGAGGCATCCTGCAGCTCAACCGGGGCAAGAAAGTGCGGGGCAAGAGCGGGCCCAGACTCACGGAACTCAACCTCAACCAGCCGCTCTTCCTCGGAGGCCTAGAGTAAGTGGGACTCGTGCTTTCGTTGGTTATTTATTCGTTTTCTTCGTTTTTTTCTTTTTTCTGTCGTCTTTTTTGTGTCGTGTTTATTTTCTTTCTCTCGTCTGTCATGTTTTTCTTTCTTTCTTTCTTTTCTTGTCGTATTTTTGTACTTTGTTTTATTTGCATTCCGGTATCTTTTGTAAGAGAAACTTCTTTTTTTTAGTTATTTCCATTTACACCATCATTAACGCTTTGAATATCCACTTTTAAGTATGCTGATGAGCCGAGATCTGTGTACCAGAGATTGCATTACGTTAAAAAGCGACGTTTTACGAAAGGTTAGGAACATACATTACGGTAAACACCGAGCAGAACAATAAGCAACCGGAACTAAACTTATATTTGCTTTTCCGTTTATTAGCTTTTATTTGTTTCATCATATATTTGTTTTATTAGTTTCATTGCTCATTAGCTTTTATTAGTTTCAGGATTTACTCGCTTTTGTTAGTTTCATCATATGCTAGATTTTATTATTGATTCACCATTCGCTGTCTCTTCTTAGTTTCACCATTTTCTTTTTTTTTCCTCTTAGTTTACCCACTTATTAGTTTTTATTAGTCTCCCCATTAATTCAGGGTATGCCTCCGCCTTCATTTCCCCAAGCACCGACTTCCAATATTAGTTTCATCTCTCATTAGCTTTTATTAGCTTCATGGTTAACTCGTTTTTCTTAGTTTCATCATTTACTAGATTTTAGTATTAGTTTCACCATTCACTATCTCTTCTTAGGTTCACAATTTTCTCACTTTTTCTTCTTAGTTTTACCCCTTTATCAGCTTTTATTAGTCCCCCCATTTATTCAGAGCGCGCCCCGCCTTCATTTCCCCGAGCACCCACTAAGACCCCCTCCCTCCCGCAGGAACTTCACCCTGGCCCACCCGGACTCTGGCGTGACCATGGGCCTCAACGGGGCCATCCAGAGACTGCTGGTCAACTCGGAAGTGCTGGACAACCTGGACGAGAGGGCGAGGGGAGGGCGCGGCGTCAGGAGGTAAGGGGAGGAGGAGGGGTCAGCGAGGGGTCGTCGGGGGGGTCAGCGAGGGGTCGTCGGGGGGTCAGAGAGGTGTCTTAGGGATCGTTGTATTATATATATGAGATAGATGATGGTCATGTTGTTATGATGATCTGTTATTATGCTATGATAATTGTTAGTTATGATGCTATACGGTTATGAGAAGATCGGGATATTGTTCTTTAGTGTGCTAAAGCATTATTGTAAATATACTTGTAATATCCGGCCATTATCTTAATAGAAATACAACATTCCTGATATAGCAAGTCTCATTTCTAGTCTCATTTGAGTACTTACATTTTAGCATTACAAAGCCACTCGCTTTAGAATTCCCATTAGTGGTTCAATCCTGCCGCAAGGTTGCTGACATCACCTTCCTTTCCCCTGCTTCAGGTACCGCGGACCCCCCTGCCTGCACAACCCCTGCCAGAACGGCGGTGTGTGCCAGCCGTTCCTCAGCCGGTTCCTGTGCAAGTGTCCAGCCTCGTTCACCGGGAAGTTCTGCGAGAAGCGTACGTTCTTTGGAGTTCTGTGTTTGTGTCTTTTTCCAGCGGCATATTACATTATGTAATCGAAAAGAGAGAGATCCATGTTGTGAATTATTGTATTCTTTTCTCTTACCTTCTCTCTTTTTTAAGGTTTGTTCACTATAAAAAAAAGTTGGAGTGTAGCCTTTTCCTCATTTTGCGAGCCAGTGAAATCAGCTAATTGCCGACTGTTCATTCTCTTCCAGGTTCAGACGAAGACCAGATGATGAAACCGGTCAAGTTTGACGGCAAAACATTCCTCAAGTTCCCCAACATGGTTTACAGAGTGTAAGTGTCAATTCCAGTTCGTCAAGATGACAGCCACATTCATTGGTTACTGTATTGAATACTAACATATATTTTAGAGATACTAACTTGAGTCTTGAAATGCAATATTAACAATATTATGCGCTGTTGGTAAATGCATGCAGAAACTGGCTAATATAACACCACTAATAGTAGGTTGTAGATATTGGCCGTACCGTCTCATTGTCCTCCATATTTGCTTCCGTTCTTTCGCCTCATTAGCTCTCACAGATTCACAAATCCATTACTGATACTTTCCACGTGCCATATTCACTTTCCTCCTCCTCTTCCGTCTTCCGTTTTTTCTTCTTTCTCTTTTCCCCCTATCGCCTCTCTTCTTCCCTCTCTTCCTCCCTTCTCTCCACTCACTCCTGTTTCTCATCCTCGCTTGCTTCATTATCATTTTTATCACCATTCTGCTTTGCCGCTCTTCGGTCCAATCGCTTCTTTCTCTCTTCCTATTATATTCTCGACTGCATTTGCTGCTCTTCTCGCCTTCGTCCCTGAGATCTCGTTTACATATTAATTATTTTTTAGAGTTATTGTTATCGGCTTTCGCGATATCGGCTCTCTCGCTGGTACTATTACTCGTTTTCTTATTATTACTTATCGTTACGGTTTCTCGTTATTTAGCATTCACTGGTATTTCTTTATTTACGTTTTTATAATACGTTTTCTGCTTTATTTCGTGGTATCGGCTTCCACTCTGTCGGTCTTTTTTCTCTTTGTTCGTTGTTGTCTCTATTCATTATCGTCATATCGCCTCGTCTTATTTTTCCTTCTCACTTCATTTTTATATATTTCTTCTCTCCTATTTCTCCTTATCATCTTCGACCA